TGGGTTATTAAATCTTTTCATTCTGGCGTTGAACTATCAGATTAGTATGTCTCCAGGTAGCCCAGTTTCCTCCTTCAGCGACGCTGGACCAATCGAGGATGGCCCTCACTAAATCTTTAGGGAAGACAATTGTGAACTGATAGATCTGTTTAGTATAAATAATGTTATTTCAATTCAACAGTAGTCCTTGTCTCTTGCCTTCTGTAATGTGACAAACGACGTAGGAACGAAATTAATTTACATTTATTTTACAGGTTGAACTACTTATAAACATCGTACAAACGAAAACTTTAGAGAAGTGCATAAAAGTAGACAAGGAAACAGCAAGTTTACTGAAGAAATCGGAAAAATTACAGGAATTCAAGAGACGACAGTTTGAGAAGAACCAAGTCATGATCGACCCAGAACTTGCTGAATCTTGCAATATCTGGATCGTCTGTGAAAAATCTAAGATGGACAAAGCCGAAGAAGAAGTGACAAGTTTAGCTGACGAAAAGAAAATCATAAGCAGGAAATTCAAATTCATGGATCCGATGAGAGTTCGTTTCTTAAAGCAGCACTGTTGGGATAAGATTAAAGAGAAAGAACACCGTTGCAAAGCTGAAGGCGTTGTTGTCGTTGATAGTGGTTATAGCGACGATTCGCTTGTGGTAAAGGGAACAAAAGCAGGCAGAAATGAAATGATCAGTTTTCTTAAAAATCTGGGTAGAAGTGTTGATTTTAAGGTATGTATGTCTTTGTACAGTTACATGTAAGAAGAGTGCCTAGAGATTGAAGGTTCTTGGGCACATCCCACCGGGCACAAGACGTTGTTTCAACGTTGAAATTTGGTAGGAAAAAGGTTGCGACGTCGACAACCTAATATCTACGTTGCTCTGACGTTGTTTTACAAACATTGGTTCAACAGCAGCCAACAGACGTTGAATTAACGTTCATTCATGGTTAAATGTACGACGTCGATTTGTGAACCAATCTCAACGTTGTTTTAACGTGGATTCAACGTTGAATTATGGTTGAAGAGATTGGCAACCTAATTTCAACGTTGTTTCAACGTCGAAACAGTAACGTCGATCAATTTGCATAGTCAACCCTTTTTCAACGTCTATCCAACGTCTGGAAGGTCATTTCCAACGTTGATTCAACGTCAGGATAAACGTCATTTTGCCCGCTGGATATATATATATATATATATATATATATATATATATATATATATATATATATATATATATATATATATATATATATATATATATATATATATATATATATATATATATATATATATATATATATATAATAATAATAATAATAATAATAATAATAATAATAATAATAATAATAATAATAATAATAATAATAATAATAATATTTATCCAGGATACCCACATCACTTACGTGTTTTTCAGTGGGGTCCTGCATCAAAATTACAATTATTTACAATATTAATTATTGTCAATATTTAAATTGTACAAAAATATACAAATATATACATGCACGTTACATGCAACGATGATAAATAGACCATTAATTTATAATTCATAAAAATGAAATTTAATTTAGTCAGTAAGCATGCAACGTGCCTCAAATCACGCTCAAATGATAGGAAAGAATCAATCGATAGAGAATCAGAAGTTATGATAATAATGCTCAAAATTAAATTAA